GCAGTAGTGGCTCTAAGTGAATGAGAGCAGAAGAAGAATAACAGCACCTTGTAAAAAATGTTTTGAATTCTTAATATGATGTAATTACAGCAGGGAGACCCCATGGCCAAAAAAAATAATTCAGTTGGGTTCAGAAATACGGCTTTTGACGGCACTGCATCAAAAATCGTATTCCTTTACAGGAAAATGCTCAGTCGTGTTGTCCCTGCTCATGTTCCTCTGTGGAATAAGGAACAAATGACTGTGTAGGCCCAGCAATGGATTTGCCATAGTGATTCTTTGTTACTGCCATTTTTCTGTATCTATGTTCCTCTTGTGCAGATCTTCGTATTCTAACAATTATTAAAAGCCTGTAATACTTTTGTTAATTTTTTATGAACGAAGACCCGCTGTTATATTTTTCGGACCCTCTGAGAACAGATAATTTAAATACTAATGTAAACACTCTAACTTGCGCTCACAATGATAATTATAAATACATGCCCCATTTTTATTTCTGCAATAAGTTGTGCTATTCTACCTTAGTCAGCGTGATAACTGTTCACTTTTGGTTTAACAGATATTAGATCATATACTCTATTTTTCACATTGACACTGTTATACCATGAAACCGTGATATTTTTATTTATGTTTTTCATTGTGTAAGAATCTGATATCGACCCATGAGCGGCTGGGTAATTTGTTTGTAAATTGGATTTATTCCTGTTCTTTGCCCTTAACCTAATTTTCTGTAAGAACGTTCTTAAATTGAGGGGTTAAAGCACGGATGTATGAGATAATTCATAAATTTCTCAAATTTACTGTTGGGTTAAGGCTGTAATGACCAACTAATGAGTAATTATGTTTATTTACCACCCACTTCTTGCTCTCTCTCTTTTTATTCATTGGCCCTCACACACTCTCAGCTACAAGCACCTCAATGTACCTATTTCAGTGTACTGCTTCTGTGGATGCGTCATATCCATCATCGTACATTATTCAGATCTGAATCGGTGACTGTCATCCTGCTGACGATCCAGCTCCAAAGTTTAATAGCTTGGACAAGAATAGCCTCGACTGCACGCTGCCGGGATTCAGTGAACTTTTTTTTTTTTTTCGGCACACTGTCAATGCTAAAAGTAATATCAGAATTAATGTTTTTTTACTGTTTGTGTTGTGTAGTCATCAGACCAATGTATCTCTTACCAAAACTTGCATTATTATGTTCCTTCATTTATACAAGCCCAGCAATGGACCTTTTGTTGAAATCTTTTGTACAACGCTCTCTTCTTTATTCAAAAACAGATTTAAACCAACGATATTACATTGTGGTTAATAAAATGTGTGTAGCACTTGTTCTGCTTCTTTCTGCATGACTACATTTGCAAACAAAAAAAAAAGAGAAAGGTACACATACAAGTAAGAATTTGCTGAAAAGGTGTTATGTCTTTGACTCATTCTTCTGGAGACAGTGTTTACATCTTTCCAAATGAAATGCAAGTTTTAATTTAATCTGGAAGAATGACTTTGGACCACTAAGTAACAGTCCAAGTCCGTTCCTTAGAAATACCTGTTTTTTTTTTTTCGTTTTTTTTTCTCAGGTAAGAGGCTGCTCGGGTTCAAGAGTGACTTCACTCCTCTTACACTTATTTAGCAACCCAGAACAAGGATTAGAGCAGCTACCTTAGAATCCAGAAAAAAACTACCTTAGCTACTACTTTTTAGACTCCTGTTCTTCCAATCCAGAAATGGAATTAGACCAGAGGATACTTACATAGCAACCCTGAACAGGAGCACCTAGCTTACATACTTTAGATGAACATTAGATTCTTTTTCTTCTTTTGCTCTTTCCTTTGGTTTATTTTGTTTGTATTTCCTTTTAATTCCTGTAAAGCACTAAGCAACAAGGCAATTGTTGTATAGCAGCAATAACTATAACCTTTATAATGAATAACCTTTATTTTTATTTACATGTCACATGTCAAATGTGACTCTCGATGTCCTGATTCCAGTTTCAGTCCACTCCTTGTGCCACTCTCACAATTTTTTTTTACTGGATTTTGCTTAAATAAAAGAAATAAAACTGTTTTTTGGGGTCAAAGTCATATTTGCATTATTAATAATTCTATCTTCTTTATGAGGTAGGTGTTCATTTATTTGGGGGAAAGATGCAGGAAAACAAACATGATCCGGGCAAACAACAGATATGGGCAACAGATGTAATATTGGTTTTCAGAAGGGTAAATGCTAATATATCCATTTGTAATGTGGATAGTTGTGCACATAAGTGCAATCCCTTACACTCAAAGCTTTTTTAGGGACACTGCTCAGATTTTCTAATGGATATTAGTGAAAAATTATTGATTATTAACTGCACAACCTTTTCATAGTCAACACAATTATTTCATGGTGAGAATCAATGCTATCTATTCGCAGGATGAGTGAAAACACTTCTACCCGAAGCTTTAGACCAGGCAAAGATCTTTCAACACAAGCAAATTCCTCTTCATGAGAAAATGTGGATCTAATCCAGTTTTCAGGTAGCATATGTTGAAGAGACACTTGTGTTACCCACAGACATGTGGGTTGCATAACTAAACAGCTGACAGAGTGAAGCAAATTATTCTGCGTATACTTGCAAAGTCATGTGTAAAAAAAAAAAAAAAATCAGTCACACACTTTTCCAGTTCTTTATGCAAGCAAATGCTGAATACAGTTTGTCTTCTTTTGGCCATATCATGTTTAATCCCATGAGAACACGCAGAAAACAGATGACATTTAAGAAATTGAAGATGATCCCTCAATATCAACCAATGTATTGTTCAACAGATGCCTTTTAACTTACATAGAATAAGGTGCTTAAAATGTCACTGTGAAAAGAAAGACGCATATGTTTCTGGAAAAATAACACTGATTTGATAGCAGGTGATTTAAGGACTGGAAATCTTGTCTTCTTCTAAATATAGTATATTAGATAGCGCTGCATCATGTTGTAGAAATCACAGAACTTGCATGCTTAAAAAGTACCCTGTATTTCTTATAGTAGATTCTTTAAAAGAGGGGGAGTGATGCTTTATTTATGCCTGCAAGTGTTGACTTCTAATGACAATTATTAATGAAACACTAACGTTAAAGGTCAGAGGTTTTCAAACTGTGGGAGACGTAGCCGCCCCTTCAGAGAGGAAATAAACAGCTGCGCCCGGCCCAAATACTTCATCGCTGTTGTTTCAAATTTTTCCTGTTGCTATAGTTTATGGTCCATTCATATATGTTTCACTGAATTTGGGGGGTTTACCTGCTTTAGTTACGTGATGCTTCAGTTGACTTGTCATTATTTACAGTAGCAAAAGTATGACCACAGTTCATCTAGTCTCCTTGAAAAAAACAGCTGGGGCTCTGCAGGCCACACAGTGGAGCAACTTCGAATTCAGCCCATGAAAATCCCAAATTTAAACAATCAGTCATACTTTCTTCTGTTTATAATTTTGCTTTCCCCAGACTTTGTCACCTTACTCATTGCAGCGTTACATATTAAAAATCTATGTTATTGTGTCAACCACAATCCAAACTTCGATAATCCCTGCCATAGGTCATTATTTCTGGTGAAAAGGTTTACATACACTCATATTACTTTTTGACTTTTGATGAATTTTTCAAGGAATTCCTGTCTAAAAGTTGAATGGTTATACAATTTCAAGCAAGAATCACTTGCATCCACACGTGGCTCCATCTTTATCATACCCCTTTTCAACAACACAATGGGCACACATATCAAACCCTCTTTTGGAAAGGACAACATGGGCTAACATTAGAGCTTCAGAGTAGGAAATTACTCTAGAAGGCCAAATCCACAAATATCCTACCAGAATATTGCCTTGAATAAAAGCCTTGTTGATGGTGCTGTTGAACACTGCAGTGGGATGTTTAACAAATTATTAATATTATAGCCCATCTCTACAATTTTCACAATGTATGGATAACATAAAATGTGTCTGTTATATTCAACAGTTAACCATCAGTGTATGTGTGTGTGCACTTCACACTACGAAGTGTAGAGTGAAGTGCTTTGGTTTCTCTTGACCAGAAAAAGCGCTATAGAATTACAGGTCATCCATCCATCCATCCATCCATCCATCCATCCATCCATCCATCCATCCATCCATCCATCCATCCATCCATCCATCCATCCATCCATCCATTTTCTTTACACCCTTGTCCCTTACTGGGGTCAGGAGGTGCTGGTACCTATCTCTAGCTAACGTTCCGGGCGAGAAGCGGGGTACACCCTGGACAGGTCGCCAGTCTGTCGCAGGAATTACAGGCCATTCAGAATAACTAAAATGACATTCATGAACATGAGTGTATGCAAACTTCTGACCTGAGCAATAGTTAACATGTTAATTTTGGTGTGACATAACAAGTAAAAACCAGAAAAAAAGGACATTTAACCAACATGTTTACAAGTCCAGTCACAAGACAAAAACTTATTTAAAAAAAAAAAAGAAAAAAAAAAAAGAAATCAAAAAATGAGTTGTCCATAAAATCAATAAATGTTAAAACACTTTTTCATAGTATTTGGGCACTTTTTAAATTTTTTCTTTTTTTTTTTTTTTGCATGGCAGAAACATATATTTATACATGATTTATAAGCATAATATATCTAAGAGGAATCATACAGTATTTTAATTTGCTTGTGAAACATTTGAAATATTAATATACTGCACTGTGTATAAAACTTAGAAACCTTTCAAACTGAAGATGGGCATAAATATTTCTCTTTTTTGAAACATTCTAAAGGCCATTTCTAAGTAGGAATGACAGGCACCAGCCAGCAGCAGCAGCTCTGTGGTTTGTTGAGTCAGTGTTTAATCCCCTTACATGAAATTGTGCTTTTTTTTTTGTCCTAAAAAAGTGGTTTGAATTTAGGGATTAATTCGGTTACTATGGCAATTAGAATAAACTCTTTACCAAACCAAGTACTTGACAGAAGAATAAAGTCAGTAGCATATATAGCATTTGTCAGCTTTTTTTTTTTTTTTTTTTTTTTTTTTTAAAAAGTTCTTTTAAAACTCAGACGATGCATACCAAATGAGGTACGATGAAGATTCTTTTGGGTCAGCTCTCCCAGTGGTTCAAAGACGTTACACACAGAAACGCACTGCAACTGTATTTAGGACAGCAGAGCGATGACAAAAGAGTCAAACAAAGAAACACAGAATTGCGCTATGTTTGCCAGTAGGTGTAACATTTCAGTGGCTTCCAAGCTCTTCTTTTGCAAACTAGAAGCTCTATGTCTTTACCTTTATGTGGCAGAGATGTTGTATTAATACTGACAGAAACAGGAAACAAAAAAAATGTCTCTTATTTTAAAATAAAATAAATACAAGCAAGATTTTATTATCACATGCAAGCTGCTCTCAGACATTTGAGCTTTTTAAAGTGACTGTTTAGACAGGTTCTCTCAATGGGAGTGACTGGAAGCTTAAAAAAATGCAGACTTACAACATCTTAAAATGAGAATATTGGTGCATCCACAATAAACTCATGGTGTGCTTTCAGGGCTTCCAGCTTTAGTTTGCTTTAAACCATCAAACTTGAACTCATGTGAAATAACAGTTTGGTGATCCTTGTGGTTATAAAAACCCCCCAAACTCTAAGAGTAGTTATAGTTATTTTAAATGTGTGCCTCTGTATGAGTAATATATTTTGTCTACAAAACCAATCTATGCCATAGATTGATGCTCTTATGGAGAAATATTGCATGTGTCGGAATCTGGAGACACAGTCTGTTGTCTCAAATTACTGCAGAGTAAATAAATGGCCATTGATTAAAAGAAGCATCGTCTGCTCCAGTCTGTGCTGGACTTCTTGGCTGATGTAACACTGCAGTCAGGAAGTCAATCAGCGATTGGAGGCTCCTCGAGAGCAGCAGCTGAGCCATTGTTCTCTCCCCTGTCACCTGAATCTCTTTCCTCCATCTTTTCATCCTGACTTAGTGGATTCAACTCTGACAGGCAGTCCAGGGGGTCAAAAGTTTGCGTTGTAGGTTCGGGGCTTAGAAGCGGGAGCTGAGGCAAAAGTGGTTCGTCCCGAAGCTTGGTGGCCAGCTCCTTGGCGCTGCAGATGGGAGTGTTGGTCTCATAGACATCATGGAAGTTGTTGTAGTCTACTTCATAGAAGCCCTTTTCCAAAGATAAAACAGGTGTGAAGCGGTAGCCCCATAACACCTCCGTATCCAGGTAGGAACTCCGAGCCTGACATGTCATTCCTGCAACAGATATGGACAGGAATGAGTGTATTCGCACGAATATATTACAATTTTCCACACTTAATCCTTGCAAGGCCACGGAGAACTAGTAGCTATTGCCAACAATTATGCATGTACAGACTCACACCTAAGTGCAACTTAGGTGAGTTAAAGGGGGTCCCACATGTTAAGCACCATCAAGAAACTTGTACGTATTTATTCATAATTTTTATGCAGAGCTCCAGAGGATTTTATTTTCAGATTTGATCGCTCAATTCAAAAAATATAATTCCAATATAGTTCCAATCAGTGAATGCACCATACAATGAACTACACATTACATGTGTAAATAAATCTTAAAGTTAGCTGTTTTCAGTATTAGTGAGGTAACTAAAAAAGGATGTCTGATAAACGGAGATATTTTCTACAGCATTTTGAGACACGTCGGTGTCTAATTCAGACTGCAAGAGCGAAATATAACAACTGTGCTGTATAATTGTATTCAACCTCCACGAGTCAATACTTTGTGGAATTACCTTTTTCTATGGTGACAGCTTCACTTCTATCAGGACATGCCAGCTTTGCATACGTAGAGGCCTGTATGTCATCATTTGTCCAAGTAATATTAAAAATACAGTACACTGAAACTTTTTTTTTAACAAATATTGGTTACAGGATATGAAGGATTCAGTAATGTATTTTCCTACAAAGCAAAACCTAATGTGATTTCACATGATATAGTTCCCAAAAGAAAACTAATTGCAATAGAATTCACACGTAATGAATTCACAATGCTGAAACAATTAAGATCAGATTGTAGCACAGAGTTAATAAGCAAATAATAAAATAGGCAACGTTTTTGGGATTAATACATTACATTACAGTTATAATTCAGTAAAATACTTTTTGAAAACGTAGTTTTTTGTCTCTTCTCAATGTGTTCTCTTCCATGAAAAGATGGCAAAATATTCTAACTTACAAAAAAAAAAAAAAGAAAAGAGCCTCTTGTTTTCGCAACAATAGCATGGATGTTTTATGAATTCTGAGAAATGTCTTAAAAAAAAAGTCTTATTTTCTGTATAAATAATTTTACTATGGACAAAAACCTAAACCCTCCATCTCAGGTTTGGAAGCATCAAATAATGAAAACAAAAAAACTGTTGCCGGCAACACATATAGCACATAACTTGGCCTCTGGCAGAACATTGTACTTCTACAACAAACTGCAGACTCATCACATATTTTTCAGAACGTACTGTTAGTTGTGCTGCAGTCAAACAACGTCTTTCATCAACCCTACAGGTGACTCTGTTTTCTGTTAAACAAATGCTGCACCGTGTCTGGCTTGTTAAAATAATAAAACACACTGGATGAGATACACTGCTGCACTGGAGATCCGTGAATCAACTGTGGAGATGTATTGTTTTTCATTTGATTTAACAAAATGAAGAGGAATATAGCAGCTACACAATAAAATATGTAAGACAGGAATGTTTTACTATGAAATAAAGAAAAAAAATGTTTACTCTCTAAATGCAAACATTTGCTGCAAAAATGTGTTAGTGAAATAAATGGTCGGCAGATAGCAAAGTTTGTTTTGCAAACCCAGAAGACAAAAAAAGGGAAATTGTTAGTGTGAGATTCATGGAGTTTGATTGGTGGGATCTTTTTCATATTCTATAAAAAAAAATAAAAAAAATGCCTGCAATTGTATAACAATATTTTTTTTTTGCACCAATTTATTTTAGTCAATTTCCAGATTTAAAATAAACTTTAAAGAGTACATTCATTTTATAAAGTTATGTAAAAACATTTTTGTTTCATTATTGTAGCAGGATTTTGAAAGTTTATTCTCTTTCATTTTTATCTCATAGACTACCATCTTCCTTAGATGGAAGCAAACATGGAAGTGAAAATATTTAATTGAGACCAATGACATTAAAATATTTAATGTCATTGTTAACTGACATTATGTACAGTGAGAACAAATCACTATTGCCACCGCAAAAGTGTGTTTGTGCTTAGTAGTTGTTGTCAACTTCATTCACTTAACCCTTGTGTGTCTTGCCGGTCAAAAGTGACCCATTAGCATGTCTAGCTGTAGGAAAAATGCCCTAAACAATCTTTGTCCGACTTGAAATTTTATGACTTTTCCTAAATTTCCTAAAACCCCATCATTAGAAAAAGTGATACTTTGTTTTTGTCTATATTTCCATGTGGGCTGTACACCACTAGGGATTGTCTTATGGGTCATTTTGGACCCATGAATTAGAAAACCATTTAAACACCAAAAAAATAAAGATTGTCAAAGGCCACACACAAACTCTCTCTAATACCTACACACACACACCATCCTCCCCCCCACACACACACATGCACGCACACATATCAAAGTAACTGGACGTATTGAACTTGCATTTTATCTGCACCGACACTCTCAATCTGCAGCCAACCCCTCATATCAAGTTACCAAACACAACAGAAAACAATCTCAGACATAATAAAAACAAATTAGGAATAGAGGATATGAAAGTATGGTGAATCTGAGTACCACTAGTTGGTTCTTTGCTGAAGTCATGAGTAGATGTTTCACTGCCCAACAGGTGCTACGTTGTATGTTTGCACATGGGATCTTTAGCATAAGATGTTGGACATCATACGTTGAACAAATTATTGTGCTGAAGATGTTCAACATAGGAGCGTCTTCACATGGTGAAGAACATCTTCATGCTCTGAAGATTTTCTTGAACATCTTGTGTTGAACATTTGGTGTTCGACATGAGGTGTTCATCTTATGTTTAACGTGGGGTTAAGCGTAGGATGTTCTTTGACTTATGTTGAATATGTTCAATATGAAAGCATCTTCATCTCATGGGGATGTTCTTCCTCCTAAGTTCAACACCTTATGTTGAGCAGAAGATGTTCTTCTTCTTATGTCGAACATCTCATAATATTTTGCAGGATGTTCACCGTCTTATGTTATTCAACATAAGATGCTGAAGTTGTCAACATCAACAGAAGAGTTGATGTTGAAAATTGTTCACAAAATCAAGCAACATTTTTTTGTTCTTACAAGAGGTATTTTTATAATTCACTTCCTAAAAAAACATTAAAGAATTGACAAAAAAGTTCCAAATTGTTGACTTTTTCCCCCTTTCAATAATTCAGAAGTAATAGGTTCACATTTATCTAATTACAATAATAAAACTTTACTATGTAAAAGAAAACTGCTATGACACTGTGGTAGGAAGAAAAAAAGAGTGTAATACTGTCTATCATCTTTTGGTATAATGTAGCCAAAAAAAAAAAAAAAAAAAAAAAAAAATTAATTAAACTGGGCTGAAAAAAAAAATGAGAGATTTTTTTTTTTTGCAAAAAAAATTTTGAA